GAGAAGAGAGAAGAGAGAAGAGAGAAGAGAGAAGAGAGAAGAGAGAATGAAGAAGAGAGAAGAGAGAAGAGAGAACAGAGAAGAGAGAAGAGAGAAGAGAGGAGAGAGAAGAGAGGAGAGAGAAGAGAGGTGCAAGAGGAGCAGGCAGTGCAATTTACACAGCAGAAAGAATCACGAAAGCGATCTCCGAAGGAGGTCAGCTGAAGTTCGAGTTTGCGATTACATAGGTCAAAATCGAAGGGATCAATTGAAAAAATCACTACAAACGGCCCCCCCTCCCCACTTCGTGTGAAGCGAATCAATAGGACCGCCCCCTTAACGAATTGAAGCGATATTGGTTAGGGGGGGGCCTTCCCCCCTCCCAACCCCCCAAAGGGACACGACATCACAAACATCATGCCCAGGGGATATCTTTTTCTCTGCGGAACACAGTGGCCAATTTCTATCACAAGCTATTTGTCCGGAACAAAAAACAATTGAACACAACATTTGTCGTGGTCATCGCTTTCGTTCCCCACCTCTCAAGTGGGAATCTTGGAGTGGAATCCTCTTCAGCTCCTCTTCATCAACCCTAAAGACTTCGTTACAGACATGCTACACAGGAAACCACACTAATTAAGCAGAAGCAACGCATCACTATGATTCAAGACAAACATGGCAACCAGTGCAGGGGGAGGTTTGGTTGTAGTAGATGGGCTGTGCTGTAGTAGATTCGCAGAGTTCCCATAGTTGTTTATTCTTTGCTCTCAAATCCGTCCATTGGATTTTGTATGCTGCTTCAAAATGCACCAGGACCAAATGCAAAAGACACGCACTTCTGTCAGTGCAGAGGCTTATGGACAATGGAATCAGAAGAAGGCCTTCACGCCACCTGACTATCCCAAGACCGAGGAGCAGAAGCAGCGCTTGAAGCAAACCTTATCCAAAAGCTTCATGTTTTCGGCCTTGGAAGAGAAAGACATGCAATTGGTCTTGGGGGCTATGAAAGAGTGCAAGATTGAGGCATTGAGAACTAAACATCATTTTAGAAGGCTGATCAGTGTAATTATATGATATGTCTTGAAAGCAACTCCCACTCGCTTTTCTATGCAATTGAGCCCATTTTGTAAAGGTACATATCTATTTATTTGAGTGAACACATTGCTTACGTGTCCAATATTTTATATTCGATGATATGTATTCCCAGGCTAAATGACAACCACCTTCATCATAGCTGATTACTCCACAACTATGACATTCTTTCGAAAAACAATAAGCCCGGTTTCTGATCAGCTTTGTGTGGTGCATTTGACCGTGTTGCTACGGCCGCTAGCCGCTGGAACCTGTCCCATCCCACAAGGCAGGCGAGAAGGTCATCAATGAGGGCGACAACGGTGATTTCCTCTTCGTCATCGAGAAGGGTGCGCTAAATTGTACCAAAGCAGTAGATGGTGACGAAAAAGTAGTGAAGACAGTGAACGAGGGCGACGTCTTTGGAGAACTTGCGTTGCTGTACAACTGCCCACGTGCTGCCTCCGTGGTTGCAAAGGATGCTTCTTGGCTAGAAGAGATTCTAGACAGTAGCATATGCTTCCATCTTTCAATAATGATTCTTGTATGGACTTGAACAAGGATGCCTGGTGATGTAAATTGACATGCTTCTCCAAGGCATGCATTTGCTGGCAGCTGGATCGAGAGTCTTTCAATCACATTGTGAAGGATGCAGCAGTAGCCCGCCGCAACAAGTACGATGAGTTCCTGAAGTCTGTGAATTTGCTTTCCTCCCTTGAGGCCTATGAGCGCTCTCAGATTGCTGATGCATTGGTGGCAGAAACTTGCAAGAAGGGTGACACCATCGTGAAGCAGGACGATCCTGGAGACAAGTTCTACATTGTCGAAGAGGGCACCCTATATGCCCTTAAGAATTTCGGTAGCGAAGAGAAGCGCGTGATGGACTACAAGCCTGGGGACTACTTCGGTGAGCTGGCTCTCTTGAAGAATCAGCCTCGCGCGGCCAGTGTTGTGGTGGAGAGTGAGACTGCCAAGGTGCTGTCCATGTCTCGGCAATCCTTCAACAAGATGCTTGGGCCTTTGGCAGACTTGCTATCTTCAAAGGTCTCCTCCTACACCTGAGTTGGGTGGAACCGCAGGGTTGAGTCGCCGTAAGCAATTCACAAGCCAGGGGTTGTACGAAAATCGTGCAGCCTCAGCATTGCGAGCCTCTATTGTCGTGCCGTGAAGACTTGCTTTGTCGAGTCTGACCTGTGCATGGACAGGCTAGGCTGCATGATCTGCCTCAGCTGGCCCTTGTTTGTCCTGTTCAATGACTGGAATTCTTCTTTGTAAGTAGTAATATATAGCTAGACTACTCTATCAAATCTACCTGCCAGCACCATCAAGGAAGCATCGTTGCGAATTGCTGGTCCAGCATGGCACCCCTGCAATGTGAAGAGGGTACCTTGAGCCCTTTGCAGCTGCACTAATTGTGACACTTGCTGGTTGACTGACACATTCTGCACGCCATGAACAAAATGGGCCTTGATGCTTGCTCAGCCATTCTTGCTGTGTTGCTTTTTCAAATCACTTTTGAGCATACACCTCATACGGCTTTGCCCCTTTTCCAGCACAGGCAGAGCTTATTGGCAGTTTGCTGAGCTGCTTGGTTGCGGTTTGCTCAGCTGATGTGGGTCTTGTCAAAGTGAGCAGCTGCTGGCAGACGTGTTGACAAGAAGTGAGGCCAATACAAGTTGGATCTTGACGAAGGACATGGCCTTCAGGAAGCCCATGACTAAGCGAAGTAAATCTGCCATCCTTTCTGAAGTATGACCAAAAAGAAAACAAAAGAGAACTTTCGTTATTGAGGACAGTTCTGTGGCTTCTCCGTGAAGCACTTGGACTTCAATAATACTCGCAAGATTGATTCTTGACGTTTGTGACGTCCATGATATCCACCACAGGCTGGACCGCCTTCATGGAGCTGACGACCGGCTCTGTCAGTAACTGAGGTTCTGGATGCGCCTGATGTTTCGGACATCGACATGCCCACTGCTGCGGAATTTGTGGTTCAATTTCTTTCAGGCCGATGTGAAGACTCATGACCTCCGCGACAAACTTGACGAGGCCATAGTTGAAAGAAGATGTTGATACCACAGTTCAACTGGCCATAAGCATTGGGGCGTATCAACATTAACAGCGAACAAATCTTGTTTAAACTTGTGTGCACGTGGCGCAGAAGCAAGCAAACATTACCACCGTGGAAGACTTGTCGAAGTTCTTGATTATTGTAAGGGCTACGCCCCGTGCCGCCGACCCCAGCGAGGGGGAGAAGGGTCGTGGTTTCATGTCATCTGGAAATGGAGTAAATAAGACGCCCGCTGAATAAGTGGGACGTGCTGCACAAGCACTGTCTTATTTACTCCATTTCCAGATGACATGAAACCCACGTAAGGTCACGAAGGTGAACTAGACTCAACTGAGTTCCTTGGGGTTGGTACCGGCGACGAATCGTAGACTTGTTCGGGTGGAGGAGTCTTTTGCCGTACTTGTCAGGTGAGGGTTGTTAGATTTTATGCGAGCTGCCTTTCTTCTCCTTCTCCCCCGCTTCGTCCTCCTCCTCGTGCGCGTCGTGTTCAACCGCCAGCCAAAACGCACAACATGCAGCCACAAAAACAAAACAGAGTACAGAACCAACGAAGCACAGCCACGATACAGAAGCACAAACAAACGAACCACGAACTCAAGCACAAACGCAACCACAGCCACGATCACAAACACAACTAGAAACACAATCACAAACACACAGCTACAATCACAAGTCACAAACACACAGCCACAACGCTCAAACACAACCAACACACAAGGATAACAATATATATGATTACCTGTGTGGGTGACATTTTGCGTGGCCGGTGGTCACAGGGTAGCACTGGTGGATGCCAACTGGAGACCCTGGCGGCACCCCAGCGCGAAGTCCCTAATACAAAAATAGCAATGCGAAACCCCGACAAGATATCAAATACCACGTAAACAAACGTCGCGCCGTGCGCTGGGCCATAGAACAGAAGCAAATGCCTCACATCGCGGTGGCGCGAGATGTGGCTTCTGCAACTGTTTTGCAAGACAAACCGGACTTAGCGACCGAAAAGTTGCAGTGGCTGCAGCGCCATGACCAAGAATGTGGTGGCCTGTACGGAGTTCTACCGCTCTGTATCGGCTTGCCCGTGCGTGCCACGGACCACTTAGACCGGCAACGGGGCATTCTGAAAGGATGCAAGGGAACAGTTGTCGGCTGGTCGTCTGCCAGAGATGCGGTCGTCGGAGATGGTGTGACACTGTGGAACACATTGCCGGAGATCGTGTATGTCAGATTTCAAACTACGGCGACATGGCATCTCACGGGGCTGCCCGAAGCCAATGTGTACCCAGTGCCAACCTGCAAAAGAGCGTGGTTCCTAGATCGGCAGAAGAAATACCCGCAGCTGCGCGTGTGGCGCACCCAGTTTCCGCTAGCACCGGGCTTTGCGATCACCGCTCACGTTGCGCAAGGACAAACGGTGTCAGAAGGGGTCACAACGGACCTAAACATTGGCCTGAGCGGAAACCCTTTCACAGCATATGTTGCCTTCACACGGGTGCCAGGCCGAGACAAACTTCTGCTGTTTCGGCCATTTCACGCGAAGCTCTTCCAGCGCGGGGTCGGTATCGGTCGTGAGCTGCTCCTGCGAGTACTCCGTGGGGAAAGTGTGAATTGGCGCGCGCTGCTGGACGCGTACTGCGAAGAGCGCGGATGCTGCATCTGCCGAGAACGCAAACAAAAAGACGCCTATACCAGAGGCCAATGGAAACGCAACGATGACGAACGTGTCTGTCGAGAATGCGTCCAAGACAAAGCCACGTCTGGCACCCCATGGCAGTGTAATAATTGTAAAGTCTGGCACGCAGAGGCAAATTTCCCGAAGAAGTACCATCGACCACTGTGTACGTATTATCGCGTGTGCCTGACATGCGAGGTGCGCAAAGAATGCGCCAACTGCGGCGTGCGGCAAGCGGAAGCTGCCTTTGGCGCGGCAGCCTGGAAAGCGCGCCATGTGGACCGAAGAGTTTGTCGCGCATGTGCACGCAAGCAACGCCGTTGGTGGCAGTGCCACACTTGTTACGTACGTAAAGAACCCTCCCAGTTTAGCACGTGGCTGGCCAAACGAACTGCGGGGCAGGATGGCCGGCAAATTTGTAACGGTTGCAAAGCTTTGCAAGTAGCCTGTCGCTATGCCGGCCGCGCCAATCATAGACTCGCGCGCCTCCGCGCCCGCGCCGCACAGAACCGTGTCCACGAGCGCTCCCCGCCGATGCTACGGCCAGCGGGTCCGAGCTCGAGCGTCGCCGGAGGCTGGTGGCGGAGACATGGGCCGAGATTACGGCGAGACAAGGAGAAACAACAGAAAGGACACAAAAGAAACGCAAGACGGAGACGCCGGCCAGCGACGAGAAGTTGTACCGTGAAGTCCAAGCAAAGAAACAGCATGAGTACGCATGCCCGCATTGTGGTGGCCTGGTCGCAAGCAATGTCACGACGGGACAAATTGATCACCGGACAGTGTGCGGC